GTGATGGTGGTAAAACGGCTGGAACGGTTACCACCATCGATCGACGGGATGTTTCACTTTCGTTGGACGGTGACCATGAACATGAGGGATTTAGGGGTAGAATGAGGAGATTAAGAATGAAAAAAAAAAGTTTTAAAAAATCCATTCGGAAGAAAAAAAAAATTTGGGGATTGATTTTGTTTTCTATTTCGAGATGTTCTAATGCAGAGACAGGAAAATATAGCAAATATGATTTATTTCGTGTAATTCATAGTATTTTTAATGGATATAATTCCAAAATGATGACGCATGTTCAAATGTAAACGTTTTCACATTTACTAATTGCTTAATTATCTTGATAACGAGTCATTCTACCGAAAAATCAGTTGATACCTTTTTTGTGGGGAATTAAATTCCCCACGGAAAATGTAGATTGACATTTTCCCCTAGACCCACGCGTTACCGAGATAATTCGCGCTGGAGAGGCCACCGAAAACCTACCAAACGCTCAATTGTTAATTCCATTTTCCGATTATCGAGAGGACATAAAAAAAAGATCCTTTGACGCCACTCTAGAGGTTTGCTTAGAGGAGGGGAGAGATGATAGTGATCATGGCAAGGGCAAAGAATTCTGCAAAGAATTCTACAGAAAGAGTCGTAAGCCGTGGTTTTACAATAAAAATCTCTCCCGACGTTCAATAGTCTGGGTCAATAGAGCTAGATCCAACCACTATCATCTCTCAGCCTCACTGAAAAGAAAAAATATAATTGATTCAGCCCAGTGCGAATGTGGACATCCCAGCGAAGATCTTGATCATGTCCTCTGGGATTGTCCACGACATGATCAACCTCGACAAATAATGTATAACTCCTTCCGGTTGAATCAATTTCCTCCCCCACTGAATTGTCGAGTTATTCTAAAAGACCTAGACTCTAAGATCATAGACATTATAACAAAATTCCTCAAGGATAGCAACTTAAATGTGTAAACCTCATTATCAACAAATGTATAAACTCGTTGTCACCAGTAAGACCTATATAGAATTTCTCAACACATGTATTTACGTAGGTATATAGATTAATTTAGTTATTTTTATTATTATTATTACTATTATTATTTTTTCTAATGCTGTATAGACGTGTAGTCTCGAGCAAATAAATATAAAAAAAAAAAAAAAGATAATTCGCATGCAACAAAATATAAAACATGAACTAATTTTGTTGAATTTATTACAATAGCTTTTCCCATTTACTAATGGCGTAATTATCTCGATAACAACGCATTCTTTTGAAAAATTTCTTAAAACCTTTTTTGTGGGGAATTGAATTCCCCACAGAAAATGTAGATTGACATTCTCCCTTAGACCCACTCGTTACCGAGATAATTCGCATCCAACAAAATATCAAAAAATCAAGTAGTTTTATTCCGTTAAATTTTTACCATTCCACACTGAGAGAAAAAAAAATGCTACTTTCCACGTGAGAATATTTGATGGAGTCGAACAGATTTACTCAAGGGAAATCTTTCCCAAAAATTAAATTTTTGTCGTGATCATCAGAAATATCCCTAGAATAATTTCAAGTGTTGGCAGGAAAAAATATAATCTACTGTACGACAGTCATGTGATCTGAGAGAACTCCACAGGTTTATACCACAGAAAGAATACATTGACGAGAAAGAATATTTTTTTCCCAAAAAAAAATTGTCCCCTCGAAATTATTTAGTTTTGCCAACAATACAGTTATCGGCAAGAAAATTGTAGTTTCCTCTTGAAATTATCATTTGCTCCATGGAAATTATAATTGTTTATTGGACTAAAATATGCACTACTCAATAACATTGACTTGATAAAACCGGAGCCTCCCATAATTCTCTGTAGAACGAATGTATTTACCCGAAAGACATATACATGTCCCACGAGATCAATTACAACTACGAAAATTATCATGTTTCGGTGGAAACTTTCTGTTTTATCCCCAGGCAAATGGACTCAACACGAGAAAAGATCTCTCCAGGAGAACTCATAATTTTTCGTCACAACTAATTTTTCTCTCAGTGCACTATTCAATTAAATGTTCCCCCGATAGTAGGGGAGCATTTGGGGTAAAACGGACACTTTTGACTTTTTTTAAAATGTTAATGAGGGGTTGAAATGTTGATAAAATTCAATAATTTTCTTCTCAATACAAAGAACAATTCTTTCCCTTTGTGACGAGTCTAAACTGAGCTCAATTGATCAATTTGT